TATAACCATTTTATTTAAAAAAAACTTCATGTCTGATAGATTGCATTCCTCAATTTCATTTAGTTCTTTTTCTGGAGATTCCTCCTTTTCTTTCAATCGAGAGTTCTTTCTTTGTCTCTCCATTTTAGGTGGCTCCTTTTGTTTGTTTCTGCATTTCAGGATGTTCTGCTTTGCCTGCCTGTCTTTGTGGGGTTGACTTCTGTAGCAGGAGTTCTGTGGGGCTCCGTGGTACAGTCTCTTTGATCCCTTGAGCTGATGCCATAGGGTTGCCCTTTATTCAGTTTATGTGGGCTGTCTTGTTGTACCTGAGCTTTGATTATTGATGGCTCATTCATTGGTTGGTTCTCCCCTCTAGCTGCTGACTGGTTGTAGTCACAACTTTCGCTGTGTCTTGTATGCTATTGTACAGGTGTTGGTTAACAAAGAAATACTACCAGAAACCTAAGCCCATCCCAGCAAAAAAACCCAAAAAAACAAAAAGAACCCTGCCACATAAACAATATCAACAGCAATTGACTAAAGATTAATAAAGGTGAAAAGAGATTAAGAATATTATAGCATAGGAAAAAGGGAATATGAAATGACTAAAGGGGGAAAATGATTTTGAGTTGGAAGAGAGAGTAGAAGTAATGAGTAGGGAATTGAAATGAGGCAAAGAAAAGGGGGAAGTAAAATTCAAAATGTAAATTAAACAGGGAAGGGTGATGGCAAAAATTGAGTATGAAAAGGAAAGTGTATACTATGAGTTTTGAAGTAAATTTTAAAAAGTATTGAACCAATGGGAACAAAATTGGAGAAAAACCACAGCAGGGTCAATAACAATGCCAGCTGAGTGAACATTAATAAAAGTGGGAAGGGAATAAGAATATTATGCAAAAGAGAAAAGTGAATATGAAATATCCACAGTAAAGAAAAATCATTTTGAGAGGATGGGGGAGGAAAACTAATAAGAGCAAGGAATATAACCCAGGCTAGGAAAGGGAAAGAAATTAAAATAAAATTTCTAACTCAGATGATCAAGGGCAGGGGCAGGCAAAATGGAGTAAGACCAAGGCAGAGTATCCTAAGGGATTTGAAGCACTAACAAATAGTGAACAAATAGGGATACCATTGGAGAAGCATAGCAATAACCATATCCTCACCCAACTAGCCACAATTTATAAAGGTGGAAAGGAAATAAGATTTTGATAATGGGGGAGAAAGAATATGAGCTGACTTAAGGAAGAAAGAATGCTTATTCTAGGATAGATGGAGGAGAAATAGAGGAAGAAATAGTAACACAGTATAGCTTGGGAGAAAATATAGTTTATAGCAACAAGAAAGGTCAGGAAGAAGGCAAAATGGAATAAGACCAGGGAAGGATGCTATGTGGGATTTGAAATAAGAATAATATGAAATAAATATATAATATGAATAAGAAGAACAGAAAATAAAAAAACACAAGTAGTGAGTTGGCATACAATTGAAGCAAAAGAAGAAATATTAAAAGACTATGTGAAAGAAAAATTGAAGAAAGAAAGAAAAAACATACAAGTTCTAAGGAAGAGTGAGGTGCAATTTGTCTCAGCTGTTGGTGTTCACCTTCTGACTTCTTTCTGGATCTGTCTGTTTTATTTTATTTTTTTTAATTTTATTTTTTTGCTGTTCAAGTACAATTTTCTGCCTTTTACCACCATTCCAGCCCACTCACCCCCCCAGCCCTCTCCACCTCCTTCCCATTTCCACTGCCCCCTTGTTTTAGTCCAGGCGTCTTTTATACTTGTTCCTGCAAACCCTTCCCCTTTTCCCCTGAAATTCCCCTCTGGTTTTTCATCAGCTCAAGGTCCCAGGGTGTGTCCAACTTCTGACAACACAGGCCTGAATCTCCTTCACCTGCCTCTAGAGGGAGCTTCTGTTGCAATCTGGAGAGTGGGGCCTCTGTATCTCCCCTCCCAGGCAATGTTCAGTCTTCTGTGAAAATTGTGGGTGTGTCCCCACCCCTATACCTCCCATCTTGGTCTGTCCCAGTTTATTTTCAATAATGTACAGTTTTGTGGGGGTGACTTTCCTAGCAAGTCCCCCCAGCCGCCATGAATGAGAGTAAATGTGACTGAGACATGATGTGATCTGCTTGGGGAGGATAAGTGGCCATTTTCCCACAGGAAAAAGGCCATGAGCAGTGGCCAGTTTCTCAGGGGAAAAAGGCATTGAGTTCCCTCCTCCAGGGGTTTTTATTGGGTTGTAATACATGTCAGGATGGGTGGTGTAGGACAAAATGGTGGCTGAACTACAACCTGGAAAAGATGGCTGATGTCAAACCAGAGAGCCAAAAGGGTGGGCTTTGCCAAAACAGATATCCGCATAGCAACCTGAGCCTGAGGAAAGCCACCAGTGATATATTTCTGCTTTGTTCAAAGGGACCAATCCCCAGCTCCCACGAAGAGAGCAAACCATAGTAAAACTCTGCTATATTCCCTGCTTGGGTGCAACTTCCCTGACCCCACTCTGCGGACTAGAGAACCTCACCCCAGTGCACAAACCCCAATAAAGCTCTATATTGCCTGACTTTGTGGCTGATTGGCATTTCTTCCTCTGCAGAGCCTAAGAAAACCTTTCAATACACAGGAATACAGGGCAGCAAGGATAAAATAGTAGATAACATTTCAAAGCAATCTGAGGGCTTACTATGAGTCAGACTCTGTCAGGGACAGAGTTTTAGGGTTTCTTGCTTGAACCCTCGACATATGAATGAAAGCACCCAGCAGAGCAGATTTTGCAGGTTTATCAGGAAGTCTTTGTGATGCCAGATTTTTCCCCTGGACATACTCTAGCAAAGCAAGGAGCTGCACCCCTCCCCAATAGGTATTCAGGCTTATGGGAATTAGAGCCAGGAAGTGCTTCTCCCAGAAGACATGAGGACTCAGGCTATGTCAAAGCCGGGACTGGGGGGGGGGGGGCACAGTCTATTGCTCTTTGTTGCAGCCCCCTGAGTTTTTCCATGAAGGCCTCCCAAGTGATGGAGTCTGGCTTAGGTTGCCCCCCACTGTGAAAGGTCTTACTCATCATTGACTTCCAACTGTTACATCCCGTCCTTGCGAGTAAGAAGGGTCAGAGACTGCTGGGTAGTCAGAGGTGTTTTATTGGCCAAAGTTTCAAAGTTTTACCTGCGCAGGGGCGAACTCTCGGGGTGCCTCCGGAGACACACGAGTGCCAAAATGGCTGCAAATGAGAGTCGCGCCTAACGCTTACAGGCTAGGGTTTTTATTGGGGTGAGCAAGCAAGCAAGCAAATACAGAAGCAGAGGTAGCTGTTAGCAATTGGCTATTTTGAGAGGACACACACACATCTCTGCTTATTACAATGGATACTTTTCTTCAAAGACAAGGCCATGTCTTGAGATAAAAATTTTCCCCTAACGGGTGTCCGTGAGATTACTTCAAGGCCTTGGCTAAACTCCCTGGAACATCTGCCCACGGCCAGGTGTTGTTTTTCTGCCTAAGTCTAAAAATAAACATCTAGTTTAAGCAAACATCTCGGCTCTTCTCCCCACCCCCTAACACAACCAAGCTTTGGGGGCAGGGAGAGGACACTGAGGCAGCATTTGCTACCAGAGACAAGCTCTGTCTCCTGTGGCTTGCATTCCAAAGGTCGTCCCTCGCCCTTAGCCACAAGGGGTTGAGACACTACAATGGGTCGAGATACAATTCCTAGAAAGAGGCAGAGTGGTCTACAACACAGTTTCTGATTAAATAGCTGTCCGTTTCACAGGGGTGGGAGAGAACAATCTGTATCAGTGTCAGCTCTCTCCTGCTTGGTGTAGATGGCAGCTCTGTGTGAGATCTGTTGCTTCCCAGAGCCTTGAATCCCCCTGGTTGCACTTTCTGAATTCCCTGCTTTGAAAGCCTCAGTGAAATAGAGCTCTGGAACCCAGTGTACTTTGTCTCCCTGTGAGGAGTTCAAAATGGGCCCTTTTAGGTATTTCTCTTGGTGTCTTTCTCTTGTGGAGAAAATGTCCCATGCAAGGTTGTTAAGCCAGCCCAGCCAGTTTTGCAGCTCTTCACCCTTCCCCACACCCTCCATCCCCCCAGGACTGGGGACAGCCTTCCCTTCTAGGCAGTTCTGCTGAGGAAAGGGGTTCATTCTTGCTTTAAATAATCTCAGGTGCACAGTTCCCTGCCCACTGCTCTCAACGTATATAGCAGCCTGCACTCTCCATGCTGGGATGGAGTCGAGAAATCACCTTGCTTTGCATCTTTTTGATCAATCTGTACAGCTGTACTAAATGGGAGCAAATCATACCCACAGTCCTTTTTCCTTGTTGGTAGAGCAGATGCCACCTGGGGTCCCTGCCCAGCACATCTCAGCTCCCCCTTTTTAAAAAAAGTCTCTCTGGGTGCTCCCACTGCAGTGCTGAGTCACTGTCCAGCTTTCCATATACACCACCTCTCCAAAAAATCTAGAATCTATCCCAGTCATGGCTAGCAGTGGCCCGCCTACTCCACCACTTTCAGGTGCAGATAGTATCTCTGGCACTCTCTGGCACTCTCCAAGTTGGTGTTTGCTGATGCAGCTAAGGGTGTGCCACTAGCTGTCTGTGTGTCTAGCTGGGTTCTTCCCAACTGATACAGGGTGCAGCCAAGGGGGGGGGGGCAAAAAAAAAGGGCATTTGGAATGGTGTCCAGAATTCAAAGTGTATAGGAATATTGGAGAGACATATAAGATGTCCTCACACCTCCCCCCAGGGGGAAGAAACAAATGGAGCCAGGCCATTGAGAGCTATTTTGCATAGCAACAGTTTCGCAGCTAACCCTTTAACTGGTTTCATAGATATGCTAAATAGCTGTGGCCAAGTTTGGAGCCAGGGAGAAAGTAGTGGACGGGGACTCAGGAGGATGGAACTAGGGGCTGGACTCCTGAGTGAGAAGGGTTTGGACTGGGAATGTAACGAGGTGCTGCACTCCTGAGTGAGAGGGGCTGTGAGAGAGCTTGGAAAAGATGGGCTCCGGGACATGAGGGGATAACTGCCCAGGTGAAAGGGAAAACCAGGCAGCTTTGCCAGAATGGAGATCCCTACAGCCAGGTGAAGAAGAAAGCCACATGCTTTCGGTGGAGTGTGGACTCCTGCAGCTTTGGTAGAAAAGGCCCATGCTGCTTTGGGGTGCCCCCTTTGGCTGCGGGGCCTGAAAAGCAAGAGAGAGTTTGACTGGAACTGGGTACAAAGGACTCTTGCCAGTGGACCATGAGAGGGTACCACAGTACTTTAGATTAACTCGAGATCCTGCACAGTGACACAGCTGACTGTGCCAGCAGCCTGCAATACAGACCTGTGCTCTTTTCCTGATTTACGGTACCCGGAGTTGGGACAGTGGGAGAAGGGAGCGCTGTGTGGGTGTAGGTGTATACCCTAAAGGACTTTGATATTTTAGTGATGGCATTAGGCCTGAATAGCATTAAATAAACATTTTGTTTCCTTTTCACAAATCTCTGGCATTAAGAGATGTCTTTCCAATTGGAGGCGGACAGAAGGGCCCAGTAGATTTTAGTATTTTGTTTTTGGGAGGGGCCCCTGTTGTATAGCAGTTTTGGGCATCCCTAGGTGGGCCGAATATTGTATTGCCCCTCCCTCGGACCCTCTTGTTCGGTAACACAACGACTTCGACTTCATGTATCCAAGTTGCTCCTGGCTTAGGTTTAGGGTTTCCCTACCATGAGAGGGTAGGAAGCCACTAAGCTGCTATCTCTGACCAGGCTCTCAATGGATGTAGGCACCTGGACTTCTCAGGCATTTTCCTTGTCCACCTGTGAAACCTCCTTACAGTCTGATTTGAAGTGTCTTTTGTACTATTTGGCTTCCAAACTTTGTATCAGCTAAGGTTCCACTGAATGTTATTTTTTGGAAGATCAGCTAAGTGTCTGAGTTACATGCAAGAGCGAGTGGATTTGGCTCCCATCTACTTGGCCACCATCTTCCTCCCACCCTCCTATAAATTCTAAATTCTAATTTTCCTCCGCTTTCTTCTGCTGCTCTCCTCTCCCTCCCCTTCATTTTCCCTTATGTCCCTTGCCCCTTGTCTCCTTCACTATGAGAATTCTGAGAATCAAAGCAAGAAAATGACTTGATTTTTCAAGGGCACTATAAACACCTCTCCATTTTCACTGGCAGTGCAGAGTTAAAAGGAAAAAAGTACTACCAACAATAACGTGACTGCTTTAATTTTTATTTAATTTAATGTTTTTGGCACTGTTTAAAAATACATGAAGAGTAGTCAAATTTAAAAGATCATTACCATGTTTGACATCATATAAATAAAGTTGACAGAAAGATTAAGTTCCAAGAAAACTTAAGTAGTATCGCGATTCAAAAAGACTGTATGTATGTACCTAAAATTCAGCTTGCACTAAGACTTAGCATGCAGAGTTAATAACTATGGCCACAGCCACTAACTTATGTCTTATAATATACTTAAAATACTGAATCCAGAGTACTGAATGCAGGCTTTATATATTCTGTTAAACAATTCTCTATTTCATTGTTAGAATACACTGAGTCTTTCTGTTACAAGGCCTTTACCATAATGTAAATCCAGGGAGAAGTTACATAATAAAACTTTTGACTAGCAAGTAAAACAATAATTAATAAATGTTTTAATCTTTATTTTTAGGCATACATAAATTTTACTTTTGCTCTTGTTCTCCAAGAAATATTTAAAAATAGATTTCAGTTTTGATCTTCAGGTGCAGATAATTTTTTGTCACTTTGGCATTTGTATATTTTAGGTACATATGAAATTAACTTTTGCTCTGAATTTAAATACTCAACATCTGCCATATTTGCAATCAATTTCAAAGATGTTTGCAATTATTTTTTATGAGTAACACAGAATTCATTATAGCCAATTCATCATGCTTAAATAAAAGTAGATTTGGAAAATATATATGCTGTTGACAACATCAAATACATAGAAAAATTTTTATAATGAATACAAAAGAATGTCAAATAATTAAAAGAAAGAAAAATTTCTTGAAACATAGTAGTATTGGAAATATATATAACCAAATGTATAATGACCAAACTATAAATAGCCAAACATTCAATACACAAAGAAAAGAAGCTAGTAAATGTACCTTAATGTTGTGAAATCTATGTTGTAAAACACAATATTTTTTCTACTAGGTAAATATATGAAAAATTAGGACTAAATTTAATGAAGATATCAGAAACTCAATTTGCAAGGTGTAAAATATCACTTCGGTTGAAGGAAATCACAAGGTTAGTAATATAAGTAGTATTTTATGTAGATTAAACTCTCTAATTTTTAAAATAAATTATGTAAAAGATTATTATATATTTTAAGAGAATGTATACTTTAGAATTATAAGTAATTAAAAATTGGTTTAAATTGTCATTAAATATTAAACCAGGAACTGCTGTTCTTCAATTCCCTTCCACTTAGGACAAAAATCCAATTCTATAGCTCAATAACCCATGTCATTAGCAAAGACCCTGATGCTGTGATCCAACAGAGGCCCATCATTATCGTTCGGGATTATGTTCCTTCATGGTGAGGCCTGGTTTTTCCAGTTCACATGACGATTTCTCCACCTTTGCATGGCTGATTTAATATCTTCATTCCTCAGAGAGTAGATGATGGGGTTTAACATGGGTGTACAAACAGTGTAGAACACAGAAAGGAACTTATCTGCAGAAAGTCTGCTAAAAGGCCATATGTAGAAGTAAATGCAAGGCCCAAAGAAAAGAATTACCACTGTGATGTGGGCAGTTAATGTAGAAAGTGCCTTGGATAACCCACCAGAGGACCGATGCCAGACAGTGATCAAAATGACGGTGTAGGAAATAATTAAAGCCAGAAAACAGCTCAGTGATATTAGGCCACTGTTAGTTAGTATCACAATTTCCATTTCATAAGTATCCATGCAAGCCAGCTCTATCACTAGGGGAAGGTCACAAAAGAAGCTGTCTACCTCATTAGGGCCACAGAATGGCAGATCCACTGTAAAAGCCAAGTGGCTCACAGAATGAAGAATGCCCACAGCCCAGGAAATAAACACAAAGATTATACATAGTCTCTGATTCATAATCGTGCTATAGTGTAGGGGCTTACAGATGGCTATAAATCTGTCATATGCCATAGCTACAAGCAGCATCATCTCACTCCCAACAAAACTATGGAGAAGGAATATCTGGGCCATGCAACCCGCAAAGGAGATAGTCTTGTACTCAACAAAAAAGTCCACAAGCATTTTGGGAGTTGCAAAGTTAGATTGGCAGATATCAATGAAAGAAAGGTTACTGAGCAGGAAGTACATGGGAGAATTAAAATGGGAGTCAGAGGAAATGATGATAATAATCATGATGTTGCCCAGAAGGGATGCCACATACACCAGAAAGAAGATGGCAAAAAAGAAAAGCTGAAGATCCCAGGAATTAGAGAGTCCCAGAAGCACAAACTCAGACACCACCGATTCATTTGTGTGAGCCATGTATCCAATCTACAGTAACATAAATTTAAAAAATCAGAAATATATCACACAGTGATTGGCACTGTATCTAGTATACATGCAAAAGAAATATAACCAGCTTTGAATTAAAAGTCAATTTAATTTAATGAAGTAATACATAAAATTGGCTAATATTTAACACCTGTCACTGCTGTGGAAACAGGGAGAAGTGTGAAAAGAGAGGATTAGATATGGATCCTATCATGACTGAGAATATAACACACACATATTAAAAAATAAAAATATAAAGTCAGAAATAAGAAAATATAAGTGGTGCATTAGTACTATAAATATTATAAAGATGAAATTATTCTAAAGTGGAAAAGTAAGGTGTCATGGAATAGATATTATTTTAAGCTAAAAGTTTTTTAACATTTTGAAATTTGGTAGACGAAACTGAAGGAACTGGTAATTTCAAGCAAAAGAGTAACAAGAATAAAGATACAAAAATAAAAAAGCAGTTTCATTTTTAATTTTTCCTTAGTAATTTTATTATAACATTAAAAGGAGCAGCAGGGAGGGGTAGGGAAGAAGAAAGAGGAGGAGGAAAAGAAAAATTGATGTTTAACAGTATGTTAGATAAGGTGAGTGGTATTGTATAGTTTTAATTAATTTATATATATATATGTATGTATTTATTTATTTATTTTTATTTTTATTTTTTGCTTGGGGAGAAAAGGCTAGCCAATCTCTCAGAGGAGAAGGGCCCGGAGCCTCTTTCTCAGCCCGCTTTTACTGAGTTTAGTTTGCATAGGAATATAGGGCATATAGGTAAAGTTCATCAGTCATTGTCAGGTAGTAATGGTCAAGGAATAGATAACATTCAAAGAACTATAAGAGCTTCTTCTGAGTCAAGGTCAGATAGATAGAGGGATGCCAAAAGGGCATAGTTTTTTAAGATTTTATCTTTGAAAAGTGATTTTCTGAAAAGATCCAAGTTTTCTACCAATCTTTCCAGTATCTAATAAACAATAAGGTTTGTCAGTCTTCATTTTTCAAAATATAGAAAACAACTAGAAAATCCTCTCCATACTTATTCTTTATGATTTCTTAAGCTAATAGAACAGACTAAGTTCAATGTTATATCTCATTTTCTTCTTAATATGTAAGGAAGACACCCATGAGTAAAGATAAATAACATTTACCATTTACTTGCTGTGTGACTGACCTTAGAAGAGAGAACTAGATTATCTACAAAGCTATTTTTACTTCTAAACTTCTAAATACAGAGGCAGTTATGTTAGAGAAACATATGGAAGTTTTAAAAGTCACTCAGAATTCTTTGGACTATACAGAGAACAGCCAGAAACTTCTTCATTAATGAATCATTAATTTTTTAATCATCAGTGTGCCTCAGTATACAAATGTCTTCAAGTTGTAAAATACACCATAAGAACAAAAACTTCCCTGGTTTAAAACCAATTCTGATACTTAGAAGCTCATGTTACATTAATATCCATCTTTAAATTATGTCAACAGAACTCCAAAAACAATAAACAAGCATATTTTTCTTTTCATTATCTTGTCTTATAATAAGCCTAGTAGCAAAAAGCAATAAAGGATATCCTTATTGACTATGACACTACTTTGTGTAGCTATTCCTTCCTCATTCCAGGCAATTTGTAATAGTCAATAAATACTTGTTTAACAGATGACTAAGTATTCTCTAAATAGAAAGCATAAAAGGGGCAGAGAAGAACAGGTAATGATGATAGTGTACTTCCCTTTCTTCCTCAGATACTGATCCCATTATTAGGCATGTCTTAACTCAAGACAGTGGGGCAGTCATAGAAACCCAGAAGTGGAGAATAGGAATTTGCCTCTTCCAGGTGGAGTTTCCAATTTGACTGAGACAAGAATAATTTCCCCTTTGCTGCTGTCTAGTTTCTGATTGTGCATCTAGAAGGCAATTTAGCAATTATTTATCTAATCCAAATATTTTCAAGTGCATATATAATACTTACACTTTGATAATTGCTCTCAGTTCTTTAGTTCTTCCTCATTTTCCCTAATTTAGGTGTCCCTCAGTTTGTTTCCAAGCTTCCCATTCTCTGCTGTGAGTCTTCATACCAAAAAATATTGTCAATACACTCTTCACTCCTGCACTAAGCTGTGCAGAAGCAAGCCCTTCAGGTTCTGCCCCGTGGTTGTAAGGGCTCTGGTACTGTTGCTGGGACCATCTAATTACAGTATCCTAAGGTAAGGCAATATAAAGTCTTCTGTCTTCATGTCAGGAAAATGATTTCTTTGGGGAAGTAAGAATTCACTCTTTAGGGATCTGAGATAACCTTGCAGTAAGAGCAATTATATTTTACAAAATAATTTTACCAGAAATAGACAAAAAAAAGTTTTTTAAACCAATTTGCTGGTATATATGAAAGCAAAAGATTACTTGATTTTTTTATTGATGTCCAAGCAGCAAAGTAATTTTCACCCCTAAGTTCCTGTCAATGAAATGGTTACACAATCTTACAAAATAATCAAAGCCTCATGGTGCTTACCTCCAATAATGAGTTCATTATTTCACAAAATAGATGAATCTACTTGGAGTGTCAACTGGCTCTACCACCTGGAGTTTGATAGGATAAAGTTATTCCCACTGTAACATGATGATTCCTCAAATATTTAATGTCCTCATTTCTCCATGACAAATCTTCTATTTCTCCCCCAAATTATGTCAACAGTCTTTTCAACTGCACTTTATGTAAGTTTTCTAGATTTCCAATAGTTGTAATGTATATGTAATATTCAAATGGTCATCTTTAAAAAAGATAACTGAAAATAATATTCCCTAGCACATATATATTTGTATATATGTATATCCCTTACTAAAATATTTCTATAACAATGGCATATGATTGAAAGATATTGTTACTAGAAGAAAAAGTAAGTATATGTAAATTTGAGAGTGAAAATATAATATTTTAGTGTAATTGAATAATTCCATGATTAAAATTACTGAATTATATTTTATATATCAATATGTGTAAGGTGAAAACCATAATATCAGAGAAAACTTGTAGATTCATAAAGTTATTATGTGTACATTTTTATAAACCAAAGAAATATGTACACACTTATGAAAGAAGTTTTAAAATACCCAGAGGAGTAGTATAAATTCTGAATTGAATTTATACTACTTCTTCTGTAAAAAGGAATACAAAAGAGTCATATAAAATTATATATATCAAAATTATATAAAAGTCAAAATTATATAAAAAAGGCTTAAACTAAATAATACTGTATATATTTCTAAATGTCTAAATAATCTATGGAAAAACATCAATATGTACTACATATACAATATAGTACATATAAAATTTTTAAAGATTATTTTAAATTTTTATTTCTTATGCTTTTATATCTTGAATATTTGCAATGAAAAATGACCTCCACTTTTCCTCCCTTTCCCCACCTCCATGCAACAACTATAACAGTACAAAGAAATAAATGAAAATGATTTTTTAAAAAATTAAAAGTACATTTTAAAGAGCACATCATTACAAATTACAAGAAAATATAATGTAGGGAGGCATGCATTTTTTTATTAGAGAGACTCAGTTTGCAAAAAATAAATACATCTCTTTAAATTAAACTCTAAATATAATATAAATATAGCATAACTTCTTTCAGAAAATAGAAATATTTTTAGAAGTTGACAAATATGCTTTGATATTTGAGGTCTGTCTGGACAAATGTCCAACCATTGTTAATATAATGAGAACAGTTTGAGCAATATCAGTGTAACTTGGCAGTCAAGGAGAGTGGAGTGGAATATGCATGTGTAAACAAAGACAACTTCACTGTACTAGTCAGTGGGGTCAGTAGGTACCATTGAGTGAGCATGTGTACTGTGTGGCCATCCATTCAAAATGGCTAAGTAGAGCAACAAGTCTGATTCAGCTTTTGCATTAAGTTTGGACATTCCTCCATGGAAACTATTCAGATATTCAGAAGCCTGCAGCTATAGGCAACTGGTGATTAGTAGCTTCATCACAAAAACATGCTTGCTCATGCATCATGTCTCTTGCAGAATTTTGTGACAAAACATCAAATCATCCAGGTGATTCAGGCCTGCTACAGCCCAGATTTGGAGTCCTAGGACTTCTGGCTTTTCCCAAAGCTAAAATCACCTTTGAAAGGGAAAAGATTTCAGAACATTGATGAGATTCAGGAAAATACAACGGGGCATCTGATGGCAATTGGGACAACTGTGTGAGGTCCCAAGTTGGCTACATTGAAGGGGACCAAGGCCTCATTGCCATGTACAATGATTCTTATATCTTGTATCCTTCAATGAATGTCTCTATTTTTCATATTACATAGCCAAATACCTTCTGGAAAGACCCTTATACATCTATAACTTTAAGATTAGCTATTTGATAAATGTAGAATTTTGAATCCTTTTTTAATGGTATTTTTTAATTTATTTTTTTATATTTTAATAGTTCAAGTACAGTTTCCTGCCTTTTACTTCCATATCAGCCTACCCCCCAGTGCTCCCCACCTCCCTCCCATTTCCACCCCCCTTGTTTTTGTCCATGTGTCCTTTATACTTGTTACTGTAAATCCTTCCCCTTTTCCCCTGAAATTCCCTCCCCTCTCCTCTCTGATCACTGTCAGCCTGTTCTGTATTTCAGTGAATCCTTTTTATATTTAGAAGCATCTCCATCTCTACTGTGTGAGCCTGTGTGGTAAATGTGCTAAGCCCTTTGTTGAAACAAAGGTACCTGACATGCTTCCCCCAGTCCTGGCAGATAGAATGTAAGCATAGGGTATGCACAACTGGATGGTATTACTTAGGTCTTTGAATCTTAAGGGAGATATTAAATAACAAAGGGACAGTTAAAAATGATTACAATGGTAGCATAATGTTGGACTTCAACAATGGTGGTTCAGAGAGGACACAGTGTCAGTGGGCAGTTGTTTGTACCATGCTGCATAACTTCTAATGGTCTCTGTTTATATCGGGGGTTGTCTCT